CATAATATAAGGTGGTATATAGCAGCACTAGGGCCATCGACCACACAGCCACACCCAGAACTACATGTAAATGCAGACATACTGGTGTCTGCCTCACCAGGCAACCTCACTCACCTCTTCCACTGCAGTGACACCATGCAGTTCCCCTGATGAAATCTGAGACTGGGACTATTACATTGGCACAGTAGCTAGATGCTGAGCGACTATCGTTTGAGAGGTTATAGCTAGCAAGCATTTGCAGATAAGTGGATATGTGGTTACCATAGCTATAGCTACCTTGCTTTAGCCACACAATAAAGAAACGAGAGGAATTTGATCTCTGGCAAGTGGGATCTGCATAAATTCGCAGCGATGCGAATAATAGCACCAGAGCTGGTTCATTGTTGAAGTTTTGTGACCAAATAAATCTCCTGCAGAAGACATAATGTCGGACGGTCTTGAGTGGGACAGGCGATCGAACTATGCTCTGACTGAGCTCATACTTTTTTCACTAGCCAGCCTTATCCTTTTTCTTGCAATCACCTTATCCTTCATCTATTCCTACATCCACTTAAACTACGACGTGTCTTTTTTCTCGACCCTTCGGCCGCTTTTTGAAAATGTTCTTCCGACGGCCGTAGCGTTTACTCCCACTCGCAGACCGGGGGACGAAGACGACATTGATCTCGGAGGCAATAACAAAGGTAAAGAACCGCCCAAGGTTAACCTCGTTTTTCTTGGCCACGAGGAGCGTTCGCCGAAAGCCAGATCCACAAAGAGAACTTTGGTAAGGATATGGGTTCATGTTTATTTCATTCTTCTGTGTGGTCTTATCATACTGTGGGCCGTGTCAATCTTTTCCGATTCCGTGCTTTATCGCAAGATGAGCAGTTGCAACGACATCAGCGTCGAGGATGAAGACCTGTCTTGCTTTCTCCTGTCAGACAGAGATGTTCCGGAAGGAGTCCAGGAGGTCATTGACCAAGAAGAAGGAGAAAAGGTACCTTGTGCAGGTGTACAACAGTACATAGCAGATAACAACCTGACATTTGATTTAGAAGTCATATGCTATCAGTATCAGCTAAATCCAGTTGCTGCTTTGGGAATATCTTATGGTGCCATAAAAACAGTTTCATTTGTAATTGTGTCGATACTAAGTGCCTTGTTCGCATTTGTAAACAAACTCTTCAGACGCAAGCCGAGGAACGTTTCTGATTTACCTGGTCAGGACATTGGCATACCCCTCATTGTGACCTCTCACGTATTTTTCTTCATCCTCTCTCTTGCCGGCATTGCCGCCTTTGCCATAATCCTTGCAATCATTCATGAAATTACTGGTTTGAAAAACTCTGGATATGACTTCTTGAGGGGAGAAAGGTTCTACAGTTATTCGGTTGTTGCTCTTGTTCCCTTAACACTCGTATTCTTAAGCTTTGTTCCTTGGTGGGCATTTCGCCCACTCGTAGAGTCGTCGCAATGGAACATTGACTTCAACGATCCTGATAAGATGAAGCTCAAGAGAAAAATGCATCGATTTGTTCACCGCATACTGCTTCACCAACAATTCTCCACGCCCTTGGCTACATTATTTGATTTTATTTTGGCTACCTTGCCTACTGCAGAAAATCAGCCATCACTAGAAAGTGGAAATGGAGAACTGCAAGCAACTGCAGGGGAACAAAATCGAGATCGAGCTGAGGAGGAAAATACAGATCAACCTGAGCCTGACAATGCTGAACGAGAAGAAAGACTTTGAAAAGCAAATATTTTGCCGAGTACAATTATAGAACGCTGTCAAGTAAAATTTAAATTTTCGTCTGTAAAAAACAGTGACAATGTTCTGACTACTTATTTAAATCTAGGTATTAGCTATTACTATTGTATAAAAAGCATGTGACAAAGAAGTTTTGCTGGTATATACACTCTAAACGTAATGGCACACTGTCAAATTGCTTCAATGATGCCATAATGAGTATAATGAATACGCTCTGCACACAGCATAAAGGAGCTTTATGCCTCATTTCACATTGGGAGTCATGCTGACATGCCCACTGAGTGGGGTCAGGCAGAGGGAGACCAAATAGCCTAGTTGGTTGTGCCTCATTTGACAAGAATTTGCTTGGCATAGCAGGCCGCAGCTAACAGCATTTAGCTACGTAGCTTGGCAGGTTCTCCTGTCCGCGACAGTGACGGAAAAGGGTCAAATTAGTTAGTTTGTGCATCAACACACGGTTTCTTTGTGCAATGAGTGAAAACAACATCCAGTAAAAGCGAAGTTCAAGCCCTCCACCTGCACTAAGAGGAGTCGCCTTTATTTCCGCTTACTCCGCGTAGTATTCGGCGATCTAAGATCGGACGCGTCTATATAGCCGCACCAGAATTTATATGGACTATAATACAGTATTAGCACTGTACTGTATTATAGACCTACATTTTATTCTTATACCCATAGCTTCCAAAGCAAGGAGGGAGTCCAAACGCGGGTCAGTTTGATGTGCGGCTAGACGCGTCCGATCTTAGATCGAAGCGGAAATCTATAGGTGAAGGCGACTCCTCTTAGTGCAGGTTGGAGGGCTTGAACTACGCTTTTGCTGGAGGTTGTTATATTCCAGAAAGCTTCGTGGTGAAGGCTGGGGTCTAATTATTATGAAAACGTACGATGTTACGTAATATCGGTTGACCTTTTCGTCAATGATCCAAACTTGGCACAAAGGATCTTCATTTGCAACACTACAACTTAGATCCCTATCATAGCTCCATACATTTATATATGATGCTAGGTAACCATGCCAATATACAGGCAGACCAGCAAATCTTCTCCACACGCGCAAAGCATCTAGAGATCATCAGATCTGACACAATGTATATTCGGACAGGCCTCCAGAGCGTACGATAAAATATCACTAAGTCGGTAGAACTTAGTA